CCATTCATATTAGAAAGGAGGGAGAAAAGCCTTTGTGCGAATGGGAGGTAATGTTGAGAGTTCTATAACATGAGGATGTGAGTGTTCCAGACTTTCTAGTCGACTTAAGGAAGAACGGTGGAAGTGAAACTAATTGTAATTTTGTTTTATATATAATACTAAGTGACGGGGCAAATAAATCGTGCGTCTGGTGGTAAGCGACACGCCGGTCCGTAACACTTGCAGTGCTACTCAGAGCTTTAAATCGTCAAGATCTGAGGGGCCACTGCGCCTGATACCCTGAGACATAAGTTGACGAGTCCCATGTGCCTGTAATTTCACCAGCACCCTCTTACCCTTCGAAATCGGAACGCATGGTATGGTTAATACTGCGCTAATACCTAGCAGAGACCTAGTTAGAACACGGAGCTTTGGCCTAAAATATTATCTTCCGTGTCCTGTAGAAGGAAAATTTACTTTAGTCCAAAATAAGTTGAGCGTGGGATGCTGACACTGCGTCGCACTCAAGGTCGTGTGACGTCACGAGCAGTGACATTTTTCGAAGATTGAGCAAACCTGCGCAGGCGGTGGCGGCGGGCGCTTGCGCGAGACTGGTGGGCCGCATTGCGCTTAAACGTCGATAAATTCTCATTTTTAATTTTCTTCCGCGCTTAATGGCCATCTTTCGATCATACATTGCACACGTTATGCGCTCGCAAAATGAGAAGATTTTTATGTTCATGCACGAAAAACGACCACATCGAACGACTTAAAACTTGATATTTAGATCTTTTGTAAGTCACCAAATGCGCCATAAAAGCTCATGAATGTCGCAGTCAAATTTCGTAAAGTTATATTGTTTATTTCGGTGCAAGACTGTATTGCTGCGGTCGCTTCGTATCATAAAAAATAATACTCAAAATACAAATAGGTGTAGGTAATATATGTATATTTGTACACAAATACATGTATCAAAATATCAACCACCGCAGAATAATGGTATAACCTATATTATGTTTCGGAGAGTGCTTAAGAACATTACATTATATTTTGGTAGCACTAGAGCTCCTTACGAGAGTTCGTTAGGAAGTACTGCCACCTAACCTATACACACACAAAAAACACACAAAAATGATTTTTTTATATCATCGATACGACATTGTCTACAATCGAACCTTTTGTATTCATTCCAACAAAAAAGGGTAAAAAATATTAATTCCTGCCATACTAAAGTAATTATGTAGTTACTTATTTTTAACTGGCATTTGTTTTGAATCACAAGTTAGTCATGTGGTATTATTTTTGTTGCTTACCTATTTCCCCTGAACCGCCGGGTGAATCATTGATGTATTGACGTTTCGACGTCATCTTCAACTGTATTTTTTGTGTGTGTATATTACGCGATTGTTCTGACCTTTTGTGAACCGATTAATATGTTTAGTTTTTTTTTAGTAAATTCCTCCTCTAAGGATGGCAAATTAGGGGATTAATCCAGTTTATGGAATTTTACCCATTTTCCAAGAATCGATTTCAATAAAAGTATTCCAGTGAAATTTAAATGTTATATTGACCTAGAGCTGATCTA